CTCACTGTTGTTTTCCAAGTTTTGCTCCATATAGTAGGACTGTTTTGACAATTTAATAAGCAATAGTTTGTTTTTTTTTCAACTGGATGTGGAACATGAACAAATATTGTTATAATAATAAATTATTTAGACTTTTACATGGAATACAAATAGAGTACATCAGCTGAGAGAATACAGATAATAATAATAAATTATTTAGACTTTTACATGGAATACAAATAGAGTACATCAGCTGAGAGAGTACAGATAGATTACAAAGGTTGAGAGAATACAAATAGAGTACATCAGCTGAGAGAGTACAGAATAGAGTATGGAACATCAGTTGAGAGAATACAAATAGAGTACATCAGCTGAGAGAATACAGATAGAGTATGGAACATCAGTTGAGAGAATACAGATAGAGTACATCAGCTGAGAGAGTACAGATAGAGTACATCAGCTGAGAGAGTACAGGTAGAGTATGGAACATCAGTTGAGAGAACCACATATAATGCTGACATAAACATCAATGAGTGCTGAGATCAAGGTGAGCAAACGGATTAGATCTAATCATTGAGTATACTGAGTGAGGTGGAACAAAATGTGCATCTCAAGGAATCTAGAGGAAGAAAGTGAGAGACACCAATGTATGTTTTATAGGAGTAACTATACAACTGACTGGTGGCAAACATATTATTTTTTCCCACAACTATGAATCATTACTTTAACTTCTGGGGTGGCGAAAAGGCTTGGAGTCGAGGATTACATGACTAGATCCAATACTTGTAATCTAATTTCAGTTAAATACATATTCAAGAATGGCTGACTAGCAAAATGCTAAGACCTATGTTTAAATGTTTCCGTCAGACTTTTAGTACTTGTAAACTAAGACAGTGAGCTCCCAGACAAGAACAGATTTAGTTAAACAATTGATTTTTAAAAAATATAGAGAGCAAACAGTTGTGAAAGTGATGTCATGTTGTGTTTAATACGTGATACACTGATGAATTAACGGGCTGAAATAGTGGATATAAAAAGAATAACATTTGTTTTTCAATGATATTTACATCAACCATGAGCCCTTACACTAATCGCCCTTAAACACAGGACTTAAAAACTTCAATGCTGGGTATAATTTCTACGTTATTCAATTGTAAACATCTACTTTATAAAGCTGAGTATTTTTACATGTTTAGAGTTGTTCAGGTGTTAAGCAAAAGCCAAGGCTTTCTATAATTCTTTTTAAATATATCACTTTCAACATTAGAATGCCGTTGTGACACATAAAATTATAAGTTACATTTGATGAACAAAAAATAAAACAATATTTAAGAAGAAAATAAGTATATCATCTTAAACATTAGAATGCTGTTGTGACACATAAAATTATAAGTTACATTTGATGAACAAGATATAATATTTTAGATCAAAATGAACATATCGTCTTAAACATTAGAATGCAGTTGTGGAGTATAATCATTCGCACAGAACTGTAAAAGACAATTATTATTTCATAATCAGATTTAGCAATGATGAGGATGGAGCAAGGTAGGTTAGGGGTGGGGGAAATGTCACCCTTTCTGTCACTTTGTTCCACAATGGTGAGCAACATCAAAAGTCTCAAGACATAAATTAAATATTGCAATGCAGGTCTTCAAGGTATTTTTTTTATCTACAGTAGAAATTAACCATTGCACGGTGTTGTCATGTTGAGCCATTGCATCTCAGCATTCAAGGGTTAAAAAAAAAAAAATCTGTCCCGGAAAGAGGGTTGAATCAAAATGAAAAGTCACAGCACGTCAGAGAAATGGCCAAATTAAAAGTCACAGCACGTCAGAGAAATGGCCAAATGAAAAGTCACAGCACGTCAGAGAAATGGCCAAATGAAAAGTCACAGCACGTCAGAGAAATGGCCAAAATGAAAAGTCACAGCATGTCAGAGAAATGGCCAAATGAAAAGTCACAGCACGTCAGAGAAATGGCCAAAATGAAAAGTCACAGCATGTCAGAGAAATGGCCAAAATGAAAAGTCACAGCATGTCAGAGAAATGGCCAAAATGAAAAGTCACAGCATGTCAGAGAAATGGCCAAAATGAAAAGTCACAGCATGTCAGAGACATGGCCAAACCTGGCACACAAACAAATCAACACCCGACAGCAAGGTGGTGTTCATCCCCTGATTTCTGTGGCATTGATCACATTATCCCTTAGTGAAATATCATTGACGAGTTCTGTGCATACGAATGTACAGGATATCAGGTGCTTCCTACATCCTACTATTTCTTTAGCCTATGACAAAACTATAAAAATTGAAACCCTTGAGCAAAACTCTTTTTATAGAGATTAAAAAAATAAAATGTCAATAAATGCAGATGCTTCCTTCACCAATCCCATCACGCAAGATGAAGTTAAACTTTTGTATTATTCTAATACAGCTAAGGCCGAATTATTTCTCATGATTTTTGTTGTTAGGTAAATAAAATTATATACTACCATACTTAATAAATAAAATGATTTAAAGACATAAAGACCTGGTTATTGAGCTCAACTCTTTAGCTCAGGAACTCTTTAGCTCAGGAAACCATTAACTGAATCAGTGTTAGAGCTCGAAAACCGGGGGGGAGGGGGGGGGAAGTAATATAAAATAATGTAAAAACTGACTCAGCCAAAATCACATAAAATCTTTAAAGAAACTAATCATCAAATTCAGATACAGGCATTAAATTAATCAAAATTTCTGCAAAGCGTCATAGAAATATCAAGTTCACAACCTTAAGAGCACCTCTCAAGAAATCTGTTTGTAATACTCACAGCCTGCCCTGACTTGCATGAGATGAAGCGATGCATATATCTTACAGCGCTTCTCAAGAAATCTGTTTGTGATTCTCACAGCCTGCCCTGACTTGCATGAGATGAAGCGATGCATATAAGTTGGAATGAGAGGAAAACTGTCCGCCAGCAACTTTTTCAGCAGTTTTTTTTTGTAATTCACAAGCTGTTAACAAAAAAGTAAGTACATACATTTTAAAGTGTAGCAAATTTGTTAAATCCAAGGGCACACAAATTTGTTTTATCTAAGGGCACGCAATTTGTTGGATCCAAGGGCACACAATTTATTATTTATATCTAAGGGTAGATACTTTGTTGTATCAAAGGGCACACTGTTTGCTCTATCCAAGGGCACACAATTTGTTGTATCCAGGACAGATAAATTGTTGCACCTCATAACACCATATTTGTTTGTAGTATATCAAATTAGTTGTAGTAGGCCACGATTGTCCCTCTCCCGAAGATTGTTGCAGTATATGAAATTAGTTGTAGCAGGCCATGATTGTCCCTGTACCCAAAGATTGTCATAATATATCAAATTAGTTGTAGCAGGCCATGATTGTCCCTGTACCCAAAGATTGTTGTAGTATATCAAATAAGTTGTAGCAGGCCATGATTGTCCCTGTATCCAAAGATTGTCATAGTATATCAAATTAGTTGTAGCAGGCCATGATTGTCCCTGTACCTGAAGATTGTTGCAGTATATCAAATTAGTTGTAGCAGGCCATGATTGTCCCTGTACCCAAAGATTGTTGTAGTATATCAAATTAGTTGTAGCAGGCCATGATTGTCCCTGTACCTGAAGATTGTTGTAGCATATCAAATTAGTTGTAGTACGCCTTCATTGACTCTGCACCAAAAGATTTCTGTAGCAAAGTTTACGATTTTTCCTGGCGTCTAATTTTTGTCATTAGTTATGCATAAACATTACATCAGTAATGCCATCATTACATTGAAGCCCTACTGCTGATTGTCTATTTGATAAGTACTGTGTACATCCCACACAACAGCCTCAGAATTGCACATATAAACATGTTGTATATTTACATCACAATGCACTTGGTTTCCTAAGCAGTAGGAGCAGTTAAAATGTTCTAATTTTGTTGTAAATGAATGTACCCACATAATGGAGGCTGTGGGTCAGTGGTTTGACTCCTCTGTTATCAAACTTGCCGTCTGCTCCCTGTCAAGCTCTCTAACCCTGCAGTTAGGATAAACACATAATTGACATTAAAACACCACTTTTTATTTAAATAGTTTAAAAATCTCGCGATACGAAGAAAAAAACAACCTGTGTTGCATATTAATTGTAATAATTGATAATTTCTATTTCCTGGGATCAATAAAACAATCTTGCATGACCTAACAATGATGCCTCCTAATGTGTGTTCAAAATAAAAAAAAAATATAAAGTGGGGTCTCGGAATCCAAAAGCCCAGCAAGTTGTTGGTTTATTTTTTTTAGGGTGAATATTTTCAAAAATTAATTCCGGATAATTTTTTAATTTTCAAATTTAAAACCAGGATTCAAAATTGTTTTGCGCCACGGGTGTCCAAAATTTAAAAAAAGAATTTTGATTACACAGAGAGCTGATCTATAATAAGTGAAGCCTTCTTTTGAAATAAAAAAGTCATGATAACAGCTTGGATTTATAATATTTTGGTAAGTTGCATCATTCCTTTATGCCCAGATATTAGATGCACTTGATCTTTTGCTAAAAAAAAAAATTATTTCTTTAAAAAAAAATGCATAGCATTAAACTGTGCTGATCTCAGCTCACGACAAACCAGCATAAAGCTAAAAAAAAAAAATCACCAGATTTGTCCTGGTAAAAACAGTACGATTGGTCACCACAGTGTTTTTTTGCATAATTTTCCCCAAGCTCAGACCACCCATATGCTTTGTTGTTCAAATTTTTTCTCAAAGGTCACAGTGAAAGTGTTAAAATGGCTTTGAAAATTCTAGTATGTGGCACCCAGGAACATATTAATCCAATTAAAATTATTCTAAAGGGGAAAAAAATTGTCTTGAAACTCGAATTGGATTCTGGAAAAGATTAAGTTTGGATGCCAAGGCGACACTGTATTATCAAAACAAGATAATTTTTGGTATTATTGCACTTACTAAAGAATTATATATGTTCAACACACGGCCAGGAATGGTTTTAAATGAAGTAATAACATTTCAGACACCAACCTGGCAACTGAACGTCTGCGGCATAAAATCTGAAGGCATCTCTTGAAACCCAGCAAGACAGGATCCCAGTTTTCCCAGTGGGTCAGAAAGCTGACAACAATGAAAGCCGCGACTATTGGTATGGTGCCCAAGTAAAAGAGGAGCCCGAAGTTTATCTGTGGAGGGTTGTAAAACTAACTGAAAGTCAGGAAACAACTGTGCTATAACTCATGTAGCTACATTACCAACATGTGTGGTTTTACATGAAACTTTCAATATAATGGCATTATGTGACCATTTTATCATGTGTTGGTCATTATGTGACCATTTTATCATGTGTTGGTCATTATGTGACCATTTTATCATGTGTTGGTCATTAAGTGACCATTTTATCATGTGTTGGTCAACACCCACCAAAAAAAGCCTACTTACATCTTTGACCACACCATCCGCTATCATGTTGAGGGGAATGACCAGACTGAGAGATAGAGTTCCAATCAAGGATGATGTCAGGAAGCAACCTCTGCAGCACAAACATATTTTAAAAAATGTATTTGTTCATTAATTCAGATTTGACAGAAACTGTTTGATGTGTCACTACTAAAGACATCATTAGATACTATTTGATGTTAATTTTCAGTTGAGTGAAGCGCACTATTTTGTGGCAGAAGATTTGGTCTCATGTTATTTTCTAAAAGAAAATGGATGTATTATGTCTGAACTGTACTTTATTATTCATCAGATGTGAACCTTACTCTGTTATATATAATAATTTGATATGTGAATTCTTGGACTTACTGTATTATTACAGTTGTGAGAAATATTTAGCAGTAAACCACCATAACTGATACTGATTGAGGTATCAGCTCTGGTCATAATAACTTAAAGCAATAACATTGATTTTATTATAGGAATAAGGGTTACAGATATAAAGAGGACTTTTATTACAGACTATCACTATTTAATCAAGACTGAAATGTAGTTGGTTCAATTATATCTTTAGTTTTTATCATTAAAAAAATAAATAACAAAAACAAGTGGCTGAAAATGTTCAAAAAAAAAAAAAAAAAAAAAAAAACACAATAAAAAATTTAAAAAAAATAAAAAACAAAAACAAGTGGCTGAAAAATTTAAAAAAAAAAAAAAAAAAAAAAGGAGTCACATTTAAAACTTTGATAACCAGGTCATTGAGTGCAGTACAAAGAGTGAGGATTGCAGTACAAAGAGTGAGGACTGCAGTGTAAAGAGTGAGGACTGCAGTACAAAGAGTAAGGACTGTAGGACTGCAGTACAAAGAGTTAGGACTGAAGGACTGCAGTAAGAAGAGTCCCCAAGGGTATACAAATGGTAGTTTTAATTATGTTGCAGAGTGTTTTCTTAAGATTCTGAGTCAAACATAAAACAAACAACTCATGCAAATGCTGCCAGCAATTATTAGCTATGTCTGAACAATTGGGTGAAAGCCCCCCTCCCCCCCCCCCCCCAATTCTTCACAGACCCTGATGATGTCAATGTCCTCCTAAAACATGTCAAACTGATGATGACCACAATAAGTTCACTTACAGCAACCACAAACATTCTGACAGAACTGTTCCTATGGCTCCGTTCAGTAAAATGAACATCCACTGCTTCTTATTGGGCCACTCAAAGGGCTCCTGCTTGGAATAGTGCAGTATCAAAAATCCTGGCCACATGGAGAGGGCGCACACAAGCCCAACAAAACCTGTTGGCGAGAAATCCATTAAAAGCTATGATAGGAGCACAAACAAATGAAGCTTGAAATATAATAACGGTGAAAGTAAATTAAATTATAACATTGGATAAAAAAAACTTAGACACGCTAAGAAGACTCGAAAAGTGTTTCTAAGTATCTTACCGATTTAGATGTTCAAAATTTATCGAGACCCATTTCAGTTCTGTCGGATGTTACAGTTCCATCAAATTATCAAACCTCTCTACCATTTACTTCAATAAGCACTAACGCTTAGGTAGAAAAGAGCTGACTGCTTTCAGCAAAAGTTCTTACCAAAAAACATGGGGATGTCCATTTTGTCCTCAGTATCCACCTTCCGTCGTACAAGGACCAGATAGAAAGAATAGCACGCTGCGCTTGTCACAGCCCACAACGCCCCTGTCGGGATGTCCCCTCCTAGCTTAGCATCCGACTCATACACCATGACGATTCCAGAGATGCTTTAAGAACAAGTGAAATCAACAAATAAATCATCAGTGTTATAAATTACTATACTGTTTGAACAAGACATCTCTAACTTTAAAGTGTGCGCCTCTTATTTTAGAAAAAAAAAAGACAAAGGAATGTAGCCCAAAATTATTTAGCACTATTTGGTTGATAATTGAATCAGCGTTTCTCAATTATGTTGGGATGACATCAAAAAGATAATATTTCTGCCTCGCCAACCCGAGTCAAAAAGAAGCTGGACTGTTACATGAAAATACTTCGCTCAACCTGTAAAACCCTTACTAATCTTTGGGAAAGAAAGACATTTCTACCCTTAGAAATTTAAAGCGTGTCCATTCCCTCTCAATGGTCTGGCAGGAAAGAGACACAGCTCTGAATTTCTTATTTGGCACATGGGCGAGGCAGGTTTAGGTTAAACATTAATTTAAATGACAATGTGGCAAAGAGGAAATATTTTCCATTATTGCTGAAAACAAGAAATTTAAGAATAAGCTTCAAAATTAATGTCTTCAATCAAAATTTTTTTAATATCGAAATTGAAATTTACCAATTTTTTTTTTACACCTCATTAGTAAATATTTAACTGTTAAATAAGTACCAAAAAATGAAGGAGGCTGCATTCAAGTAAAATAATCTTACCCTACAATAACTGCTGCCAGTTTCGATAGAGTAAATTTATCAACGGCGCCACTGGGAAAAATCGCTGCACTGATGAGAGTAAACAGACCTGATGTTGATGACAGGGTATTGACGATGCCTATCTCTGTCTGGGCTATGGCCAGTTGGTAGGTGTAGTTTGCTAAAAACCACTGAAAGATAAGACATCCAAGTTTTACCTGTTTTATAAAAAGTTTTACCTGGCAACTTTAAGATAAAAAAAATTCACACAGCAGCACACAAGTAAAGTATGGTATATTCTTTAATAAAATGACCAGGAAAGTTAAAAACTGTAAATTAATTTTAAATTTGCACAGATAAAGTGCCCATTGCTTGAAATTTCACAGAAGTTTTATGATGTGTAGACAGTTATTAAATAAAAATAGTTCCTTTGGAAAAGCCAAGATTCATTTGTCATAAAAAGGTACATGTTTAAATGGAAATCTAAGATGGTATGAAAAATTCCCTAAACTGTGCCAGATGAGATCAGAAGCATTGCATAACTGAACAGATGTAATATGAACACACCCAACAAACATTTTATTTCCAATCTGTCAATAACAATTCATGACATGTATAAAAACTTATATTTCAAAATAATAACGTATCACAGAAATAGCCATTTGGAATACTTACAAAAACACAGAAAAGACATGCCAGTTTGGCCACCTGATTAAGTGGTAACCTGTTTTGTAAAATGTTTAACTTTTCAGCGGCTTGAATACTGGCCTGATAGGACAAACGTGCCAGGTTGTGCTCCAAAGCATAGGTTTCTGCCATAAAAAATAAATTATGTTACGATTATAAAAAAATAACACTTATCTTAAAAAAAATTAAAAATAAGGTTGCTCTTTGGTGGAAGGCAGGGCTTAAAACATGAGCTAGGTCAAATGCTTCTCTCATCACAGTGCTCTCCCATATCAATATTTTTTCCCATATCTAAATTTAAACAGGTAGATAGGAATTTATTTTTACAGTTAAATTCAAAAGTCAAAACCTTAGTATGTCTTTCCTTTTTTTAATTACCTGTGTGGGAGGAATGTTTTTAAAAAAAACAGAGGTATTTTTAAAAAAATGTATTTTTTCCCTTTTTTTTGATGAAAGGCATCAATTGGGAGTCAAATTAATAGCAAGATTTAATAAACTTACCGGAAAGTTGGCGTACTTCAGAGAGATTGCTGAATCTCACAGACTTGCTGTTACCACCACCTGAAATTAAGTGGAAAGTGAAAAAAATGCTTAACTATAGTGCAAAAATTATCTTTAAAATAAAGTTAATAAACACGGTGTCCTACAGTCATAGTAAAATCGTAAGCATTTCTAGGAAAATGCCTTAAAAAGTGTTTAAGCTTGATGATATTTAGTCTGTCTCTAGTTGTGCAAAAACTATCAATGAGTTATCAACTTACTGCTGGCGTCATCTGATTCCCCTCCACTTGTATGGCTGTCGTAATTATCATACTTGATAGGAACATAAATCGGGGAACCCTGAAAGAATATTTTAATCAGCAATCAAACACCAAGCTCCAATCTCAGAGCTGGACTGAGTAAAAAAAAGCATCTCAGCATACAGGACTAAAAAAACCAACTAATAGAGATAATCTACTCTGAATGTTTAACCAATGCAAAAATCTAAGCAAAATCTGGTAAAATCCTTCAAAATGAAACAAAAATTTAAGCATTTAGTTTGAGGCCAAATTTAAACTATTAATAAGGATAAGCCCTTTCTTACAAGCATGGCATCAGGCTCAGCTGGAGAGGAAACTGGCATGACTTCTTCAGTGTGAGGTGGCTAGAGATATAAATAGAATTTAATTAGAAATATAGAGGATAATCCCCACAAATAAATTTCGATCACAGCACAAAAATAATTTTTAGGTTAAGCAAACAATGGAGATCCTTTGCAAAAATATTATTATTTTTGGAAACTAAAGAATAGTTTCTGTTCCAGAAACTTACATTATCAGGTAACACATAAAATTATATCAATCTTCTGACATTATTCTAAAACTAAGATATAAATCTGCTAACAAATGACAAGGGTATGAGAATCACTGTTATGTGTAGATCACTGTTGTTATGTTTGGTAGTGAAAAGATTTTTAGTTTAGAGATTTCATGTGTAGCTGTATCTATTGTGTGAGAATGTTGGGGAAAGGGAAAATGACACATTAGTTTTGCTGTTGTTATGGTGGATAGATGGTGGATATACTATATTGACTGTTTGGACTTTTGTGTTGCTCAGTGTTTGGCTAGAACGATTTGATTATTAATCTGAAATTATATAACAACCATAGTTAAGGAATTGTTGTTAAGTAAACCCATATCTTGCAACAAACCAGTTAGTGTTTGTTTTATTAGTAGCTATTGCTATCAGATGTACTGTCTAGTGGGATGAAGTGAAAGACTTAGCCCAAACAAGTAGACACTCATTGCACAACAGGTTCAACAGCTCATCAACAAATCATTTTAACAATGTAAGAAGAAAATAATTAAAGCAATCTACACACGAAAATAATTTTCATTAAAGTAAAAATTGCCTTAAGCGTGCATTTTCTTTATTTGGGAATGCTTTTGTTGTTTTGCATGTAATTAAAAAAATAATTTAATTTTTATGTTAGAAGTTTGACGAGGAAGATAAGTCATGAAGAATTTAAAATCTGTGTAATTTTGTGCCATGTGTTCAAAATAAATATGATATGTTGCCTGCAAACCACTGAACCGACATTTATTTACAACTATATATTTTTAATACCACTGCCTGTTTAAAATCCTGGCGGAGGCTGAACCGACTGCCCCTAAAACAACATCTTGCCATTGTGATTATAGTAAAGCTTCTATCTAGATGCATAACATATTTCAAGCGCTTACCCTTCTGTAGCAGCACTGATCCCTCCAAGGTTTCCATATAATGAATCCAAACAGATAGACTGTGAACATGACTGTCTTGACATAGGTAGTAAAAAATGGCTTGTCAAAGTTAGTCTCTTGGAACAGGTACTGCAATATGTATACAGTGGTTAATGCCTGTGTATATTATATATATATAGTAGACAATTGAAATGGACAAAATACATTTAAAAAAATGAGTTTTTTTTTAAATTTCAAGAAAAGTTAGGTGAAAGCAAACCTTTGTTATCTCTCCTGATATGACCCATACGATATCAACAATGAGCAGTGCTATGATGCCTATGACCAAACGATTGGAGCGATTGAGTCTGCTAAGTCCAAACATAGTTGCAAGCTAAGTAGAGTCTGCTTCACTGGACCTTGTCAACAGTGGCAGTAGTCATCAATTAGAGGACACTTGCATACATTTTTAGTCCTCATATCTGGTTCTTTAAAGCACCTGAGGAAAGGGGTTTTGAAAAAACATATTATACTTAAGTCTGTGTCATGACTTTAAAAGAATACTTCTTCGGCAATGAAACTTTAAGACCATTAAATTACAAATTTTGCAGATGTCTAGGGCTCAAACCCCTTGCCGTTTCAAACAGTGTTTGCAATTTTTAGAGTGAGTGATTATGGGGAGTTATAAAGGCTATAAATATCAGAGAAAACTGATAGGGTAAATAAAAATGTGACATTTGGCAGAGATTTGTGGCTACTTTAATACCCAGCTGTACTTTAATGCATATAGGCCTAATTAGTTATTTTTTTTGTCATTAGCATTATTAAACATGTACTAAAATAAAATTGTAAAAAAATTGGACCTAATGACCACATTATCTGAATATCATCATCCTTAATGCCTAACATTAATAACTTTTAGCTTAATAGCCTACTTAGCTTTAACACATTTATTATACACAGACTGACTATAGCTATATACTTGACTTACTTATGGAGTAGAGGCTTTGAAATTGAATTGGTTGTGTGTTATGTTGTGTCTAATCATAATGTCCCACCTTTATCCAAACTTTCGAAGGGGCTAAAGCTTAAGTTAACTAGCCTTTTTTCATGTGAAGCCTATTATTATAAAATATATATTAGGTGGTATTCTACCATTTGAGCATCAGCTATTAAACAATCATGTTGTTCCGGTTTTCAGTTTATTGTTCTATTTATAAGATAAAATTCTTTGATTGATCCAAATAAATGGAAATGTTTAGGATATTGTAAATGACATATTTATTTCAATTTTATAATTTTTCAAATAGAAAATTTCAAACAATTAATGTACAGGTATGGAAGAAAATAGAGTTTGAGTTTATATTTATTCTCTCAACAAAAACAATTGCAGGGCATGAACTCATGAAAATATGAAGGGAAACGATCAATGTTTGTACCAAACTGTCTTTTTCAGCATGCACTTTGCTTTGCAAACTAGTTTAATTTTACAAAATTTAAGTATTAGCTTACTTTATAAAGGCTATTCAGACCTGGGTCCCTTCGCCTTCAGACTAAACTAAATACTATTCAGACAACTCAGCCTATTCAGATGAAATTTGTGTCAGTTTCTTTAAGTTAAACTGAAGAAGTAAGTTTATAAACATATAGTATATAGTCATAGTCATATAGTCCATTCAATTATCTTCCATTTGACGCCACATTTTGTCTTACAAACCCCACAATAAAATTTTAAATATTTTTAATAAACCCAACCTCTCACTCTTTCCCCCCCCCCTGTGGAATAGCCACTTCGATTATAGTATGAGTATGAGTATGCTATTATTATTATCATTATGAATATGAAATTGTCAGACTGCGAAGTGTACTCATAGGTGGGCAGTGTAGTAAAATTTGCTTGGCTTAGTTAAGTTGAAATGTCAAAGTAATATTAATGACTAAAGTAAACGGATAGTAATTGACTAACTGTGAATGCCGAAGCCGTATATATATGAAATATGGTATGGACACGGAGGCATCGGAATATCAGATGACAATCTATCAATCGTCAACACTTATCAACAGATACAGTTAAATTAAACAACCAATCCGCCCTATTTCACTGACTAACATTGTTTTAGGCGATCCCTTAATCCTTGAGAATATTCTCTCACCAATCGTCACTTATGAAAACTGATATAGGCCTTATATAAAAAAATAATTATAAATCTTCAAAAGACTAAATTAAGATTATTAATATAGAATTATCTAGGGTTTACTTATTATCGAGATATGAGAAGCCACCGAGATGAATCCTTAATTTGGCATTTTAACAATTTTTAAATGTACGATATTAAAAAATTGGCAAAATTTTCCAATGTACCATCCGATTTACGTCAAACAAATTTAAATTTTAAAAAACGGTTAAAGTTAATTTTACAAATGTTTAACATCATTCTTAAATAAAACCGACACCCACAAAATGTACCTGAGACACGGCTCGGAATTGGTATCGATGCTTTGGGAAATTACCATGTGTAACGCTAAAGATGTATGTTTTAGATAAACGACACAGTAATTTTAAATATTTAAAAAAAAAAAAAAAATTTACGTGCTAAAAACTAAATGCTTATTTTTATAATTTTAAATGTAATATTTCTGCTAAAAAGAAGACATTTAAAGACATTAATTTTTTTTTTTTAGACACCAGAGAACTTTGAGCATGCTAAAATGTCAANCAATTTTTTCCCCCCCCCCCCCCCCGTCAACAACTGTCAAACTTTCGATGACCCCCCTATTTAATTATGTCAACATTTTACACCCCCACCCCCCAAAAAATGTATTATAATTTAAATACATTTATCAATACTTTTTAGTTTTTTGCTGATGTGCGGTATTTTGAATAACTTAAAATCGCAGGAAAACCATTTTATTGCATCTTTAGCTTGTTAATCAACACGTTAAAAAGTTTTTACACTGAAATTTTTTAATGCAGAATCAATTAAAAGTTTGTTAAAGACTAAATATAATTGTTTGTTGAAGTATAAATATAATTATTGTCAGTATAGGTGACAATTGTAGTTTAATTTCTAGCTGCTATGATCTTCCCATGGAGTAGGCAGGTGTTGCTCTATCGTTACAATGGGCATCAGGGACAAGTCAACATCATCCTTATCTAACTATTCAGCACTTAAAATCGAAGCATTGTCTGTGTGAGCAATAGTTGCCATAAGATCTCCCTGTCTTTGAGTTGGTATAGTTGCTATTGAACACCGATGAGTTGGTCTTTTTAAAAATATTGAGCACCATGTACAATGATGTCTTAATAATTCTAGAGAGTGGATTAAGGGAAAAATAACAGGTGAATAGATGTCAACTTTTGACTTCTCTTGCCCTGACAAAGTGTGCTAACATTCTGACCAGCCATCTGCCGTGCACAGACACACATTAAATAACTCTTATATTGTTAAAATCCTAAACATATATGACTATTTAAACTCATTAAATTGTTTTAAAATAATGTAAGTACAAGTCAATTTTTAAGATTAAAATTTAAATGGAAAAAACATGATTGTTGACATCAACTAATCTAAACACCCCTCCACCCCTTGTCTACAACTGTCAAACATTTCCACCCCATCACCCCTATTTTGTTGACGTAATTAATGGACGCTCCTTTCCATATTTATAGGCCAACCATAAATATCGTGACACTAATTTGATCGATATTTATCATCCCACCCCATCGTCAAAAAAAGTTAGAACCCCCTTCTAATATTACGTCATAAACCCCACAAACACATTTGTATCAGTTCTTCACGTCACTGATTCGCTCTGTAGCAATGGCGGTGATCGTAGTACTATCAATCAATCAAATACATACACAAACGTAAAGAGTGAACAATTTGATAAATAACATTGGTTTTTAAATAGGTTATTGTTACGACCTTTATTATACTTGAAATGTTGCGACTTTAGTTTGATACCTCCTCTCATATAAAACACAAGGTCCAGTGTAACAATATAATAATTTATTGGATACTTTATAAAACAGGATACTGCTACTCAATGACAATATATTATGGCGCGTGGAACACACATCAGTCCAACTACCAACTATCCACTCTCCTAGCACTACTCTCTCGACTAACGTGTCACTCGCTCCTATCGCTACTCCTATCGCTACTCCAACCAACTAGCACACATCTCTTTTATATCCCTACAAAACACTCAACATACACTAACGTTCCACACCACGATCAACAACTCACAAAACACTCTCACGATTCACGACTCCCCCTACCCAACATTCACAACAAACTAGTTCACAACAATTACGGTAAACATGCAAGTAATTAATTATGTGGTTTCTGTTTCAAATGAGTTCGGCTTTGAATGTGACGTCAAATTGCTACCAATTCCACAGCCCCTTCGCCCTCGACGCACATCGTCACGAAGATGTGACCTTCACACCTCATCCCCAACAATAGATTCTAGACGTTAGTTCTGGAAGGCCCAAATCTAGTTCACAACGTTGTTCGTACCTGTGATTTAACTGGACGCTAGCAAAAGGAGCATGAGGCGAGTCAACAAAGAAATCAACGAATGAGGGATCATGACTGAGCACTGTTCCAGCTGGCGAACAGCTGTGTATGAAATGAGTCAAACAGCAGTGTATGAAGGAGTCAAACAGCAGTGTATGAAGGAGTCAAACAGCAGTGTATGAAGGAGTCAAACAGCAGTGTCCGCAGTGTATGAAGGAGTCAAACAGTAGTGTATGAAGGAGTCAAACAGCAGGATATGAAGGAGTCAAACAGCAGGATATGAAGGAGTCAAACAGCCGTGTACGAAGGAGTAAATAAGGCAGAAGATACGCGAAACGAAGCCCCTGAAACAAAAGAGTTTGTGGAAGGACAAATTTAACTATAGAAGTACAGGTTCTTCTGCGAGAAATGCAGCCGAGACTGTCATTCTAGGGTTTGATGAAGTGTCCTTAGTTACACAATCGTCTCGCTAAGTCGGAAGGATGCCATATATATATCTATCTATCTCGTGAGGAGATACTGACCTTCTATCGAGCGCCTCCCCAGGTGGCGGATAGGGGAAAGCCCATCAGATATGGTTGATACCGGGGACATAAAATAACCGGGGTGGACCAAAATCAGTACCTACTGCCTTGTATGTATCCCCCCCCCCCTTAACCCTAGCCTGGATTAGAGGAAGGCATCTTCGAAATACTTCCAGTCTACATTGAAAATGTATGTATTGTTGATGCTGTCTTACACTCATCATCATCGTCAAATGACTTCTTTTGTCATTTGTGACGTATGCAAAGAAATACTACTTATTTTTATATAAAAAAAAATTATATTCACAGGGACAAAGTGCAAATATTAATATTTTTTA